GCATGACAAACAGACTACCGTGAAGGGCGTGAATGGACACAGCATCTACTCCGCTCTTCCCGCAAATCCCATTCTATCCCTTCAGTATCCTGACATGGTGGCAATGACGGAGGAGATGGCGGAAATTGGAACTTTTAAAGTCATCCTAGCTATGGACGCACTGGGCCCATACACTTCGGCACTAGCCAAATACAAAATATCAGGTTTCAGCCGAACCGACGGACGGTGAACACGGAGTGCATGAAGCCCTGCAATAATCCCCCAAGTTGTTCGGCTGATCTCCCGAATAGTTGGGCTACCAATGCACTTAGATCGAACTCGGATGGCACATGCTGGTAGGCCGTTGAGTTGCTTTGGTTGCGCCTGCAAAAATCCACAACGATAACTAAGTCTGTGGGCACATTTAGCCCTTGATAACTATCTGCGCCTACGTGTAAGGAGGGCTCAGTGACCAAATGGGGCATAATCATATCATTATAAAAAAAGATAAAGACTTATTTACGCTGTCTTCTGACCCAATTGCAGCCAGGCGCATTTAGTACAGTCAGAATAGTACCCCTTAGGACGGAATATCGGAAATCGATAAACCGCACCGACATGATGGTGTTGTCGAATTCACGCCTTCGCGCAAGACAAGTCTGTACCCCATGCTTTAATCGGCACCTGAGACTTAATGATGGAAATATATGAAAGAAGGGGCGCGAACGCCCGAAACCGCACTTTTGGTTTGTATCTGGGTTAGATATTCGTGTGATTGGCATGCCTGACATTCACATTCTCAGGTTATCAAGCCATTTTAGGTCCAACAATCGGAAACATAATATGCAAGAGGAAATGCATTCGGCCAGACTATCATCGTGATAGTGCGGTGGCGATCAAGGGAGCGGACTACCACAGTGGCTCGTGAGACAGCGAGGGCACTGAGTAGCTCGACAGGAGAATAATTTCTGGTTCTTCCTGGCTTCGAAGATATACGCCATCCGCTAATGAACCTGTTCAATGTTCCAGAAATGTGCCGGGGGACAGCAGAAGAGGCCTTGTCTGGTGGCGGACAGCACTCATCATGCCCTGACACCGCGATCAATGCGATCTGTTTGGCGCTAACCGGCTGGTCAGATAAGCGCCCAACTGCGTCTGAAGGTAAAAAGGTCGCGGCCTTCAAGACTGATTTGTAATCAGACCCAAGCCAGCCTATATCGCAATCGGAGATCTGCCACTTGTAGACGCGTTAGGTAGTCCGTAAGTAGGTCAACAGACAGATCCCACATCCTGTCCGGCACTGGCTAGACGTCCAGGCACATGCTGCGTTGACTTCCATTGCCGCATAACGAAACTTCGAGGGGGTCTAGCTCACCAGTCAGCTCCTCAGCGTTCCACACATGGTTTCTGCTGTTACCTTAGTTTCCTGACGAAACATTGATCCAGCCCCAGATTGGCGGGTATATTAAAATGTTAGCTGCAAACATTGACCGAAGCCTGTCAGTCGAGACAACAAACCCTGGAAACAGGTAGCCTTGACCGCTTACCTCTCCCACACTGGCGGAGTTAGAAGACCCCTTACAATTAGTTTGGGTTCGCAAATGTGAGAGATCCCAAATGTCATCAACACGGCAACCTTGTTTCTGTGAGCGTATTCTTTTTTTAATAAGTAGGTCATTGATCGGTGTCCCCGGGCGAGCCATCTACCGACGCTTTCTTCTACTGCAACCAACTAACGCGCGCATCGTTAACAGACAACCAACGGTGGACGAGAGACTTGCAGATAACGGTACCGTCCTAGGCGTAAATTAGGGCAGTCTGCGGCAACAGTTTGTCCATCCGAACCCACGTGAGTCAGCGGTGATTTGCACATCATTTAGACTACTGCCGGGGGGAGGGTCATGATAGGGACTGATCCACGGTGTTTCAGCGACAAAACTATACCAAGACTGCTGCAGGGGGAAACAGGAGCGGCATAAAGCCCCATCTGTCGCACGCCGCACATGTGCCGACTCCTCACTCGACACGAACGACAGACGGGCGCGATCAGTACCGCTGCCGCAAGTGTTGTCGACGGCGTATTTTATTGAAGGAAGTGGATGGGCGAACAAAATGCTCAACGACAAAGACGTTCAGAAATTCTCTCATCAGATTCCGTCATCAGAGTTCATGAGATAGGTCACGCACTGTACTACTACTGCTACTGCTACTACTACTGCTACTACTACTACTACTACTACTACTACTACTACTACTGCTACTACTACTACTACTACTACCACTACTACTACTACTACTACTACTACTACTACTACTACTACTACTACTGCTCGGGACTTGGCCTGATGATTATGACGCCTGATGCACAACCACTGCGTCGGCATTGCACAGGGGTGATAGCGGGCAGAACATTTGCATGCAGTAGGCGTTGGGATGTAATTGGGAAACTTGCAATCACCAAGAAGCAAACGGGAGACGGGGGACAGTAAATCGGTACTTCCAAATGAATACAGACTACGCACCGACACACACAAAAAAACATGTGCGTCAGGCCATTGCGTCAAGTAGATGGGCGGGGGAAGGTAGGTACGCTCAGCACGTATGTGATGATTGGAAAACTGGAGGAAGGGGGGGGAAGCAGGTACTCAAAATGCATCCAGGAGCATAAGACACTCGTTGGGAGGGAGGGGAAACCGGCTGGAAGAGAGGTTTGTTTACACTCGTCACTCAGGCAGGGAAAGGGCCTCAAAAATGATACTTTGCAAGGAGGGGGAGGGCAGGAAGAGGGAACAGCGGTTACAAAAACGAGATACGCGTACACTAGCCTATTGCCATTGGATCTCGGTGCAGATTCCGACTGAGGATGGAGCGCACGTCCGTGACGAAACGAAGGGCATCCAGCACCGGCAGGAGACAGAGCAGGGCCGTATCGCTGGAGTCGGAGAACCAGGACCGAATCGGGATGGCGTTATCTAGTAGTAGACGGACAGTCACGAGATGGATGGGAGGTTAAGAGGACAACAATTGGGTCGTACACCGACTACTATTAGAGGTCCTACCTCCAGAGGGATGTAGATAGGCCAGTAAGTGCTAAGCTGCAGAAGGATATGGACAGCCCAAAATTCATTTTGGCCACCGCTCTAATCTGCAGGAAAGTATAGCTGCACCTTAACGGTGCGTTGCTTTGGATAAATAGAACCAACAGCCATTTCCGTGACAGTTCGTTAAGTCCCAGATGAGTGTGATGCATGTTGGTGTCTCAAATGAATGCAAGTTGATCAAAAGAGGAAGAGGCGTTCACCAGGAGTGGTTTATTGGAGGTCCGACGTTTCAAGTAGTTGATTCGTCTACCCATCTTCAGAGACTGGAAAGTCCTGCGCACAGCTCCCCTTATAAGATGCACTTTGTTCAATGCGTGACCCGCCAATGCCGTCTGTGTGGCTGCATCTAACCCGCATGTCACCGTGACCTTAATCGCCCCCGTCGGCCGCGGAGATGGCTGACGGCCCCGATTGTCCCGCGCCGTGACTGTCCCCCGTTAAAAAGGTTCGTAAAGTCAGACAGGGGGAGGCAAATTGATATGGCAGTTGACAAAGCAGTCGGTGGACATACAGGCTTCATGGACTTGCCTTGCTGTATGAACACCGCCCCGGCCCACAATCTCAACGGCGTCAGAGTTGAAGATGTGTCCCATTTGTGCGGCATGGATTGCTACCTCCGACTTTGGGTCCAACCTTCGCAAGGCCAACTTATGCTCGTGGCTAGATCCCTCACGCCACTCGGAATAGGTGTTGCCCACAGGCCTGACTCAACAATCCGCCGACAAGTGATGCGCCAAAAGATCCGAGCCCTAAGCAGATGTTGGCCGTTGTCTACCGACTTCAAGGCAGCTGCGGAAGGTGCAACTACGTTAGGGAAACCGGCCGACGGCTGCAAACGCGAATGCTCGTGCATAAGTTGGTTGTGCGAGGGTTGGATCCAAAGTCAGAGGTAGCAACCCATTTCGCGCACAAGGGACATATCTTCAACTTTGACGCCGTTGAGATTGTGGGCCGGGGCGGTGACCACACAGCAAGGCGAGCCCAAAAAGCCTGTATGTTCACCGACTGCTCTGTCGACCGCCACATCAATTCGCCTCCCCCGCGGCCGACGGGAGCGATTCAGGTCACGGTGACATGCGGGTTGGATGCAGCCACACAGGCAGCATTGGCGGGTCACGCATTGAACAAAGTGCACCTTATAAGGGGAGCTGTGCGCAGGACTTTCCAGTCTCTGAAGATGGGTAGACGAATCAACTACTCGAAACGTCGGACCCCCAATACACACATCCCGGTGAACGCCTCTTCTTCTATTGATAGGCCACCTAGGAATCGCATTTTCACTACTATTGATGTGAATACAAGTTGTTATTCGCTGGTTCGCAAAACATATTTACACTATAATTACTACTTATACAATGTTAGTAACACTAAAGGCTCTGATATTACCCCGAGCGTTCGAATTGTTGTTTACGAAATTACTAGCCAATCATCCAGGGCATTGGTCCAGTAAGAAGCCTATAAGACCGCGTTGGCCCACCACAAAGCTTAGTAATCACCGTCTTGCATTTTTTGCACTTATGCGTTTATTAGAAGAGATGGGATGGGGCGAGGTGAGCACATTTTGAACTGAATAAAAGCAACTAAACTGAGTTGTCAACTCTTTAATCACAACAAACTTGATGGATTTCCACGTAGAATTAGCTCTCGCGTAGTAAAACTAGGCAAAGTGCAAAAAGCAACCCATGCGGCGGTATAAAACACATGCCAACGCCATCGCTTTGGGCATCAACAGCTAGGAAAAATTGCAATGAGCACAAGGATACGCATCAGATATTCTTAGGGAAGTGGCACAAACTGTAGGTGTCGGCAGCTGAAGTCTCGATGCATCATCCTGAGTAAAAATTATAATCCAGAATTTGGGGCAACTGAAACGTGCATATCAGCTCATCTGGCCTATTTGCCTGACCTTCCACCAACAGGTTATTACTGATGACATTTGGAAAGCTTTTAACCGTGAGAGGACTGTCAGAAGGCGCTGATACTGGAACGACGGTCTGGAAGTGCAATCTGCGAGGAAACCGTCAACCAACTTCCCCAAGTGGACATCAATGACAACATTGATCGTCCGACTTCGATGTCGAAGATAGTAAGGGCTGAGTAACTGCTATCCCACACGACTCACGGGACACAGAGGCCGACATTTACAAGTACGCCGACGTACAACTTATGAGAAAGTGTACTTCACTGGTACACAGGGGATTTGAAGACAAGGGCAAACGCCAAAGCGAGGGAAAGCGCCAAACTCCTGGTAAACCGAAAAGTAAAATGTAAACCGAAATTCCGAGATAAGTTTTCGGGTCAAAAAGATTACTTGAGTAGGTGTTAAAAATTTGAAGCATTTTGTCCCCGGTAAGAAGCTGAAGTAGGCAAAAAAGGCAGGATTAATTGGTACCAAAAGTACTATCAAACGACGGCTACGTTCCGCCATTGAAAGGACATACAATGCAGCCGAACTAGTATTATGCAGTCCTAATAAGCCACTTCCGATTCCACGGGCAAAGGATGCCCTTCCAATGCACGCCACTTCAAATTGTGTTTATGAACTCACATGCACTTGCGGATGCAAGTACATTGGGCGCACGCAAAGGCGTTTGGCAGCCAGGTCTATTGAGCACCTGCCTAGATGGCTCTTAAGACAAGAAAAGAAAACCCCGCGTTCTTCCATTACGAAACAGCTGCTTGATAGTGGTCACTCCATCGACCCCAAAACTTCCTTCTGAGTACTTGTTCGGGCACGAACAACTCGGACATTGCGTTACCTGGAGGTGGCCTATATACGACGAGTGAAACCAGATCTTTGTGAACAGTTGTAACACGTGGTTAACCTAACATTCCCGTTGTGCCTTACGGGCTCTCTCTCTCGAGCCCAACCAGCAGCCGCAAGGCGGCGCATGATATAGGCAGAATGGTATTACCGACAAAGACGAGCGAGACTGAAATGGCCGTTTCTGGCTTATTAGCCGTCGTCAGCCAGTCATACCCAACTCCAAAGTGTGGAACACCCAAGGCTCGAACTCGCAACCTGTTAGTTAGAAGTCCACGCCTCTAACCACTGGGCCAGGAGCCCGTTGTCCTGTCGGTTTCGATCGGAAATATACAATGGTAGGGAGCGCTCACCGATAGTTCTTACGGAACCCACTCGTTCCGTTGTGCCTTACGGGCACAGTTACTTCGAGATGCCGGCCTTAGAACGAACTCCATACCGATCGCCTGCAAAAACTACACTCTGCAAAAGTGACTACTGAATTAGTATGGAATTTTCCCCTTGATTTTAGATGTCCTTATAAATTCAGATATATCTCATAGAAAACGCGCGTAAAAATACCCATTGTTTTACTCATTTGGAAGAAAATCACGTCTTCTTCAACATTCGTGTTTGAAAGAAGGGCATAATTCGGTTTTAAAAAAATTCCCAATTCCCAAATAATTCCGAACACGAATTGCCGTTACACCTGCATTCAGGGTTTCAAATCTACGAGCCGTATATTTTCCGCGTAAGGAAAACCATACATTTCTCTACGGTATTAACATAAGATCATATGGGGGTTCATAAAATTTAGCAGTGAATTTGAGCCTTATTGTTGATTTTACAAGCCACAGTGGTAAATGAAGAGACACGATGTTTTATGAACGGGCTTAAAACGGTCACGGTCTTAAAAAAATCTCTTAATCAGAAACTTTTTTAAAACTGAACTATACCCTTCCTTCAATTATAAAATGTGAAAGTGTAATTTTCTACCAAATCAACAAAATAATGCGCACTTTTGTCCAAATTATCCCGTCAGCTGGCAACCTTCCAAGCCACGGCTTTTACCGCATCGTGATAGCTTCAAACGCGTCAGATTGTTTATATAGTGAGGAGGAAAGTGCGCTGAGTCGTCGACCTTACTCTCCCTTCCCATTTCCAGGTCCCAGCCGGTCAATTGACTGGTGAAGGAAATGGGTGCGGTGGCTGGCATAGTCTAGTGATCTTGTCTGCGCGCGCCGAATGCACGACCTGCCCCCCCCCCCCCAAACACAAGCACCAGGATTTCACCCAACGAGGGTTGAGCGGCGTAACTCTCACATGCGTGAAAGAATCGAAGGTCACGTTGAGAAGGAGCCGTTTCAGCCTGGCTCCCCATTGAGAACACTTCTACTGCCGGCCAGTCTATCAGCACCGCTATCGGTCCTCCCACCAGCAATGGGGACTCCGCTGAAGTTCGTCCTCGTCGCACATTCGGCGAATAAGTGCCTAAAAACAAACACGCCCCACACCCACACTGTCTCAGGGCATTCTGACACGGCATAGGACTACTCTAGCGTACGCGCATACATGAAAATCTCCAGTAAGGCAACATAGTCTCGACCCCATCACAACACTTCGCCTTACCTGAACAAGCTCACTTAGGTCACGCTTGTGACCCTACTCGGTCACAAGCGCATGCACAGCAACCATCGACAGCGTGCCACACAGCATTCAAATAAAGTGCACGTGGGACAATCTACCCCCTGCGCACCCACCCACCGTCGCCCGTTTTGCCACCCAGAGCACGGTCAGGTAGATGCAGAAGAAGTCTGCTTCACCGCGAACAATTTCACGCGCACTCCGTGGGCCAGCGGTAGACCTCATCGTCGGCGACGGTGGGACTATTGCCAAATCGGCTCGAAAAGGAGGAAACAAGAGGTAATTTCAGCTGCCCATCCGTGACTTTTTGGCGGCCAGCCATCATGACCGGTCTGGCACCATTGTTCAAGACCTCGCTGCCGTTCCAGATGCGCCGACCTGAAGTCACGCGACCGACTGCTCTCGGGCACACCTGCGTCCGCACAGCCTCAGCTTCCCATGCGGCCACTGGAACGCACCTGCCTCTCTGCGACCACAACCCAAGCCACTGGGACACCACCCCTCGGCAAATGCAACACACACACTGACTGGCCACCACTTGAGCTTGGCCCACGAGCCTACAAAAGCGGCTGCCACCACTATCTCAGAGACTCTCAGGCATGACTGGACACAGTCAACACCAGCCCTGGCTTTGCCAGTGGCCACTGCCGCCTGAGAGGACAACTCCGGGTTCTGTGCACAATAAATCCCTCAGTCTCCCTACAACTTGGGACCTGACCCCAAGATGGTAGCGCACAGACGGGGACACACTCACACCGCTTGGTCACAACAACTTCCCTGTCATGAGAGGACTCGGCACCAAACAGACAACAGATTCAGAGCCATCACAGTACACAGGTGGAGTCGTTAGGACTCCTGCCAAAAGGGGCCAAAACAAACTGCAGTGACCTGGCCAAAAGACAACAGCAAGTCCAGTACCCACGCGATCAGTTTGCACAACATTGGCAAACCGTTGCTTCTGCACTCGCCGCGGGGGACAAAGCAAAGAGACCAATAAATGCCTCAACACTGCCTATCACAAGTCCGAAATGTCTCCGAGATCACAAAACGCATTGCCAGAGTCCGAGGTCGGTATCGTCCCGAGGTCAACGTGCGCAGGGATCATGCAGATCGACAGCTAAGCAAACACAGGTGGGCATTATTTATCACAGATCATACTGCAGTTGCCCTACCAGGTGAAAGAAGGCTGGATTCACCGGTACACGAGCACGAAGTGGCGGCGAGTAGGGAGGGACTTGATGGCCTTGAGAGCAAACTATGGATAACGAGAGCCGACGGAGCTGGCGGTCTAGACCACCGACAACCCTATAAACAGCCAGGCCGTCGAGGCCAGCTGGAACTTAACGCGTGGAAGGAAAGCATCACGGCGTAGAGCGCGCGGGCCAGTCAGTCAATCAACGTGTCCGCAGTCGTATGCAAACCGTCGACGAGGGGCCTAACGTCTGGGGTTTTTTTTAGAGGCCGGCTGATCAGGACACGCCAGTTTGAAAACGACGTTTGCGCGCCCTGGACGGAGGGGGATTAGGAAGTTCACGTATCTGCAGTGACTGACACAGTAAAACTACTCTCAACCGCTCCCGTCTGTCTTCTGTGATGCAGAAAATGCCAATTCAACTCCCATCTAACGCGCGTCCCAAGGTCAGGCGACGTGACCCAGCTTTTGGACGAGGGGGTGTGTGGTTGATAGGCCATGAGAGGCAATATAGCCGCGTCCTTTTAACTATGCGTTTGTTTTTAAGCAGTCGCTGATCTTGGGCTCGCCTGTGCTGTTCCCGAGTGGGTCCAATAAATACCGACTGGAGTTGAGATTTCAACTCCGATATGCCACTATGGATCCATACCGGTTGGCACAATTGCAAGTATCAAAAGTAATGTGAGATGGGAGTACCCCAATATAGACTTAAATCCTGCCGAAACTCTGAGTGCTGTGAGACTGCAAGCTCCTAAAATACCTTTTTGTGAGAGCAGTTGTTAATAATGAAGCCAGTGAATTAACTAGCGGCTGAAAAGTGATACGTAAGACAACCTCGGTTCGCGTCAACACCTTGGTGGTAACAACTTCGGACCAGTTTAGACTAAAGACTAATCGGACGCGAAATGAAATGGCTGCAGTGGTAGGAAGGCGTTTTGTTTTAGTGAACTAAAAACGCCTATAAACTCTAATAAACAATTAAAGTCAAGTTGTACCCTTACGGCTAATTTGTTTTTTTCTCATTTGACTAGCGTAGATAGACAATTGCCACTAATTGTATATGTCTGAGGATAGGCCGGTGTACATTCTGCATTGGCGATCCTGAAGTAATTGTGCATACCAGCCTATCTTTTGATGCATACGATTAATGTCCACAGGTTAGTTACTTCAGTCAGATGAGAAGGAAGAGATTAGCCACGAGGAGGTAATTAGTGGCACTTGCCTTTATCATTTGGGGTCGTATTTCAAGCGACTGTGGCTGGCTAGTCGGCATCTAGGTCGTTAACCGTCACGGTTCCATCACCGTTGTTGATTTGTGGGGTAACAATTACTCGGCAATCTGGCTTACTGCCACCGGAACTGTTGGTCTCCCGCGTTCTCCTAGCGTGCCTCACCGCCTTGCCTACGCAAAGTCTCAGCTCAGAATGCAAAGGCGGGCGATCATTGCGATTGTCAATTGACTGCAGGCCAGAAACCATGGCTCACGCGGTAATCACGTCTTGTGAGAACTGCGGTCTCGTTAAACTCGAAGGTGTGGCCGAGTCATGCCGAATGAACTACGACCTGAGAGTTAGTTTCGCTCCTCCAAACTACTGCTGCATGTTCGGGCATTCGCGTCCGGGGTAATCTCCCAGTTCCTCCGAAGTAGTTGCTTTATCCGCAACTGTACTAGACCTGGTAAACAATTCCAAACGTCTCCTGTCTTAGCAGAGGGTCCTTCGGTCTCCATTGGTGGCACCTGATAGTCGCCTCCGGTCTGTGAGCAGCCCCAACTCCAAGTAGTGTGAGGGGGCGGCCCGTTATGGGAGTCGGGGTTTGGAGGGTAGCCAACTGACGGGCTAACTCTTTTCTACCGAAAACTGGGGATCAGGTCGCAGTGGCTCCTTAATATGACCTAAATAACACTCTCACTCGATGCGAATTCCGAGACCCCTCGTCCCCCACCGCGTTAAGGACTGATTACTGTGCGTTTAATAGAAAGTACGCATGTGATATGCGTAGGCGCGGCTTCAGCTTCGTCAGACATTGCATCCATACCCATCACCAGCAGCCCTAAATTTGTCTTGCGGTCACGGTGATTGCGTTTGATCCAAGTACCTTAAGAGCAAGGTGATGTCGACGTAATCAAGATCTGAGCTTCTATTGGCAAGATCTGAGCGTTGATCACTCTACACTAAATCACTAAAAACACTAAAACACTAAGTCACGGTCCCCGCTGCGGGGCACACGGTGGACATCGTCGGCAAAGACAGTCGAACTGTACTACCTAAATGCTTGTGGACGACATGTCAAGTGGCCTCACTTGAAGCGGCTGGCGATAGCAAATAAGGCAGAAGTTAGCATTCCAGTGTTCCTTGCCAAATAGATGTCATTATAAAAAAGAATGCTGTCGCTTGTGGCGGAAAGACGGCTAAAAATGGATGCTTACCTGGGTAAGACCTGTAGGCACCTGGCGAATTGTCGAGAATAAAAATAGAGGATAGATCTGGGGAGATGAGGGAGAGGTTTTTGGAATAACTGCCGCTCTCGTAGATGCAATGCTGCCGGTAGTAGCGGCGCTGGAGGATGTGGCGTCCGTTGTCAAGGTGGTCCGCTACGCCCGCCCCGTAGATCTCCAGGCTGGCAGTAAAGACAACCAGTTCGTACCACTGGCTTATCTAGGTGTGTGAGATTGGAGTGAAAACAGGTTAACAGTAAATTAACAGAACGGAAGCAGCTGTGACCAGCCGCTCTAAGATTGGTTCTCAATGAAGAGTCCCCTGCGTCTAGTATCGATTTTTTCGCTAGGCGGTAGGGGAGAGAATTCAGTGAAGCGGCGGGCGGACACCGGCCGAAATGCCCTTATTACTTTTTAACAATGGTGCAGTTGAAATGTTGCCATAGAGACCCATCTGAGGATCCGTCAGGCTTATGACCTTGAAGTAGGGCCTCAGTGAGCTAAATATTGCAAAAAAGGGTATTTTCTTTTTTGAAAGCAGAAGGACAAGTCAGACGTCACGATTACTAGAAGTTGGGAACTTAAGTCCCCTCCCTCCGCACACGGAGAATTTTGCAATGGATTGGAGGCGAAGATATAAACTCTTAACATGACGCTCCCACACGGAGTACAAGGATAAAGTGAAGTCGAAGAATTTTATGCAGCTCACTACAGTGATAGTGCGGGAGTGAGGTAGGGGGGGGGAGGCAGTAATTTATTCGTCATAATCAACGACCACCTTAGTCAAATCATGCTGGTGGTTGGGTGATGATTGGAGTGTTCTGTCGGGAGGTGTTATAGTGTATTTCATCACAGCAGCCAGGGGTTGGAGTGCAGCTGTTTCTGCCCGGCAAGAAACCGTTACTACGGGTGGTCGAAGTCTATGTGGACGTCTGTCACGGAGAGGAGGGGGGGAGTGAGATGGTGTCAGCTGCGAGGACAACTGACCAGGAAGTAACTTACACACTAGGTAAAATATGGTGAGCAAAATTTGGGCAGCCTCGGTCTCGAATTCTCATTTACCCAGCATAGTTCAGTGGTAGTTGACCTGAAATCATTTTTGTCGCATACGCGGTCCGCATCACGGCTCCCTGAACAAAGCAAATAAGACAATAACTTTGCAGGATGTAGACGTCCTGACAAACCTTAGTTTGGCTGCTGATGCATGATCGCTGTCCTAAGAACAGCCTTGTTGATCTATATGTGAAGGCTCCGTATAAGGCGGGATCGGAAAGCATACGACTAAAGCCTCATCAGGGAAAATAGGAGCATGTTTCCGGAGAAAACTTTTGAGAAACCTGACAACCTTGGAGCGGAAACCGGCCTCATTGTCTCGCGTGGTGCAGCTAACTCGTCAACCTCTTTTCATCATGGGCTACGGGGCGGGAGGAACCCAGTTTTGAAAAAACGATTCGACTTTTAGTTTAGCCGTGGGCTGTCTGGTGCGTCCGGAGGTGGCAGACAGCGAAAAAGCCATAAGCAGAACGGGCTAGCTCCCTAGTCTGACGAACATGCAGTCTTAGACCAGAGGCGGCAGGACAACCAGGGCGCGGAGACACAAGGAATGTACAGCCGCTTTGTTTCAGCGCCCGAACACGCGCACACTGCCGCAAGATCACTCATCCCCACTGCGGACGCCTCAGCTTCAAAGCTCCGTCGCCGCATTCCAGACGTGTCGAATTATCAGACAGGCAGGCTTGACAGTCCGACAACCCGTTATGAACAATGCCAAAGCTGGCAAGTGCGCGTATCCAGACAGTCACAGCATCCATAACTCCGACAAATCCACATACGTGCACTTGGGTACACGAGTGATCAGGCTAAGGCTTAGCTCATGCGTAGTCGTAGTGGGACGTAACTGCCCAGCTATGGTAGACGATGAAGTCCATAAGCTACTAAACAGTTCTTGAATCAAGCCCCAAAAACGGGCAAGGTAAAGACGAAACCGACAATCGAATCACTCAGCACGTGTGGCCTCCGTCCGACTGGGAACTAAAAAACTGGGCTCAAGCGCCGTCTACGACTTTTACGGATGTTGTGCTAACTGGCTCAACTTTTCTCTGGAGTGCAACATTAGTCAGCTGGAACTAAACAAGATCATTCGTGCCGCGAAGAGCTGACTGAAAGATGTCAACAGTTCAAATATAAAACATGCACATAAACGCACTTCATAATGTTCTGAGCAAGTCAAATGACGAAGTTCAAGAATCCCCGTACTTAGGCGAAGCTGTGAGCAAAGCAACTTTATGCAGAAAGATATGAGTAAGCTGCCTGACTTACAATGTCTAAGAAGTAATCCACATGGGGGCGCTTGTGAACAGAAAAACGCACTGGGTGATGATCTATGTCGACTTTGAGCACAAAATCAGGCGGCGTTCCGGGCCTTACAGTTGTGCGCACCATCCCATCGAGGACGGAATGAATGAGTGTTTCATCCAGGTCTATGACCATGATCTTGCGGCGGCGCAAACCTGTAAAGGAAAATAGTTCATTGAGAGGCAAGTCAAGAAGATGGCAATAAACACACTAGAAAGTGGAAAACGCAACAACTTTGACGCTAAAATCATTTGGTTGGCAACTGAAGGCAAAACCTATTTCGGGTCGTCATGACCGCTTCACCAGATTCCGAAGGACGAGGATTTCGAATTGCACGCCAAACGCGTGCGGATGACCTAAGAGTTAGATAGATCCGACATCACCAGATAAGTAACCACCACCCTTACACAATCACCAAGGTTTTCGTTGTTCTATGGTAGTAATTAACAGCACCAGGTGAAACAGTGTGGAGAAAGCGGTATGAGTTTAAGTTTCGTTAAATTAAGGAAGCATGACAATCTTAAGAGCTTTCTGGTAGAAAAGTCGATTTCGAAATAAGTCGTGTCGATGTTCTAACTGTTTAACCATGCCAGACATATCCACTAGTAAAAAGCAGGTCTAGGCAAAGGTATGCTTTTAAAAAGACGGCAAAAATAAACTCACACAACTGTAGTTTCGAAATGGGAGATAGAGGAACCACGGTGTAACGGACACTTTGATGTTGCAAAACCTACAGCTAGCTTGAATAGACAGGAGTACCGTTTTCGTATGCTTTCGAAAGGTGTAAGAACAGAGGCTCCATAGGTAGGCGATGAACATTGAAATCAGTCGCATATGATAAACTAGTTGCTCCCTGGCCTTCAACCTGTAGTACTCTAGTGACCAACGCAGCATTTATAAGTCTTTTTAATTTTGAAAGTTAAATAATTCCATAAATAAGGCTAGTAAATATCCTTCGCGGAAGAAGTCGACCGCATAACGTGGACTAGCACCGGGCGTTGTTTAAAAAAGAGCCAGGCGACCGACTCGAAAACAGCGCGTCGCTGAAGAGTCACGTAAAATCGGCCTATGACAGGCCAAAAAGCTGGTTGCTATAATAAAATGAAAGTCAACCAGTGTGCGACTCACATAATGTCCTTCCTCCTAATAATTTTCCATGGTGGGGATCCCAGCTGCCTAGATCTTGAATACAGACCATGCTGTCTACTACATGTTGTGTTCGTAAACAAATGCAGAAGTGCTGGGGCGAAAGTATACGGTGTTTCAGCTGTTTGTGAAGCGGGCATCAGAGCGCTCAGCAGAACTCGATAATTTGACAAATGGTGTGCGATGCGCAACAAGTTGCCCCGGCAGCGGAAGGGGACTACTACCACGTAACTCGGCTGATTCCCAAAATTGTTAGAGGCTGGTCCATATCATACTCTAGCCCAAGAGAGCATCTTGGCAGATGACTGTAAAATGCTGTTCACTCAATCTCAGTATGGGGTTTATGATGCGTCATTGGTAGCCATATGTCTATGGATGCACTCGGTGTGGCCTCGCCGAAAACGACAATTCCTCACATATCTCTTGAGTGAGAAGTTGGACATCCAAGGGAACTCGAGAAGTTTTTAGACCTAGTGGGAACTTGGCATAGTCAGCTGTCGACAATTTCGCAAGGCAGAATAGATAATCCAATGACATCTCCAATAACGTGTTCGAATAGCACAATTTCATTTTATTCGAAGGAGAGTATATTAGTTCCGAATAAAGTAAATTCATTGTTTTGGCTTCATCTTCTGTCTGAAAAAAGTGTCGTCTTAAGTTCAGACGCAGTGCACGTAGAGAAAAGAAACATTCACTTCAGTTCGGTGTTCAGTATATTTGAGGGGAATAGGTCCATGCCTTTGAACTCCCTATCTGTCGCATAAGATCGAGAGAATTGGCAACAAGGGAAGCAAATTACAGTATCAAGTAGATATAGACTTCGATTCATATGGCTCGTTGGTTTTGAATGGTTACAGAGCCACATGGTCCCTTTTTTTGCTACAATATGTTTGTCAAGCCGATACTTAAATGTCTCCTCAGATTGGAGCATTACGATTGCGTCCGGCAGGCTATTCCACGGCTCCACGACATGATTAAGGAAAAGTACTTTATCATATCCAATCTTTATTGGGACGCACTTAGTTTGAAGGGGTGCCCCGGACGTTATTTTTAGTGACGAATTGTAAAAAGTCGTCACACAGAAGGGCACGATTCAAGCAACGCCGATAAGGAAAGTTTTTATCAAGTATCCAACCAACTGCCTATAACTCAGAGGATAGAGATTAAGATTATTCGGGTGGGTCTCGTATGGCAGTGTACTCTGAGCTCTAAGTTATTTTGTGTCTTACCTTTGCATCTTTTCGAGTGGATTGCAATCTTGCTGCTTCCAGGGTCTGCAGGTCTAAATGGGATACGCAAAATGCGGCCTTACAAACTTGCCAAACAATTTGGAGAAGCATTCTTCATTGAAAACTGTGAACGCCTGTTTCGTGGCGTACAGCATTGAAGTTGTGGCCTTGACTGCCACATAAAATTAAGCAAAAGGTTTTAGAGTGTCTGCAACTCAATTTGCGAGATCTTTCTGCGTTTCTGCCTCTCGGAGTGACATTGCGCTCAGATAGTACTGCTACGTATTATAGATCTGATTTCGATTTCGGAAACGCAGTATGGCTCATTTATTGAGTTGAAGGACAGCAGCCACTTGTATGACCATTGGTGTAATCGACGTAGATTTTCTTGGAAGTTGGTTTCGTCGGGAGCGTCGTGGATGGCTTTCCAGATTTTTATATCATCCGCAAACTTCGCATAATCACAGTCCAATTCCTGCATGCAACTATCAATGAACAAGAGAAGGTGGGTCTCTCCGAGCACGGAGGCCAGCGTGTGCCTTGTTTGCTGTCGCTGTACACAGACAACTTGGGAAAGCCTGACGAAGGAATTTTCAATCCATCTTGTTGATTCATTTCATTTTTGCCTTTTTCGAAAAAATGAAGGACTTTTCTCATTGCTCGCCAACCATTTTTCTCATCGAAATGCCTTTATTATGAGCAAGAACTGAGCACTGTGCAGTGTCTGCCTACTTGTTTAAATTTCACTCGAAGAAATCTATTTTACTCATTATGAAAATACTCATAAAGATACTAAATAAAACGAATTACTTATTTAAGAGGTGTTCCTCCGGTGCCCATTATTTTCAGCTTGTAAACGAGACGCTGATGCGCTACACTGTCGAACTTCTTCCGGAAATCAATGAAAACCACACACATAGTGTGTTTCGCATCAAAGGCATCTGTCCAGGCTTGCGCTGTATATACAAATCCCTTAACCACATACTTCCTCCTCGAAAACCGTTTTTTACATTGGACAAAAGGTGTGGATTTCCAAATATTTCTTCAAATCCTTTTGGATAGTCTTCTCCATGACTTTGCAGCTGATTGATATTAGACTAACAGCTCTGTAGTCGGGTGCAAGTGCACGTCTACTGCTCTTGAGAAGCAGTGTAATACGGACTGTTTTCCTGTCTATGAGTACGGATCCAGTATCGAACGATTACTAGCACCGAAAAACGCTTTTGCTAGCTCTCGGCCAAGTTCAAAGAGCAGCTTTGTCGGAATCTCGCCCGCTCCGAGAGATTTACATCACTAAAAGCTGTTCTATATTCCTAAAATTACTTTCCCTAGATAGCTTTCCCATACTCTCGTAACCAGGCAAAGCAGGGTGGGAGAACTCTGAAAAGTGCTCAGATGTGTTTGTATCACCAGATATCTCGGGACACTCCTCACTCCTCAGGACAGGAATCGGATTCCTGTCACGCGTGTCCTTTGCAATTAGCTGTAGGGAAATTTTCAATTTTTAAAGGCTTGGTGGAACAAGTTACTCTCGAAATTTCATGCTCTTCCGAAAATCAAGCCCTTTACCCTGTTCCTTTGGACTGTTACTCTGTACAGTCTGTATTTTTGCTGATTTTGCGGAACTCCTTTCACGGCCTTCTCCTCTTATTGGTTTCCACTTTGAGATCTCGCGTTAGTCACTGAGATCAGTTGAATATCCCAGGCTTTGATAACGTATAGGGGTTCTTTATCAGATGCAACAACCGACCCTTAAATAAATTCCAGTCTTAAATGGCTTTCCTGAAGAATAACGCATCATTGTCTGCCTGTGATGTTTCAGCTTTCACTTCGCAAAATTCCCCTTGCCAAATATTTAGGCTTGTTTCTTTTATTGCATGTGGTGCAGAATAAAGTCCGTACTCTCATAAAGGCACTGTATGGTCACTTTGACCTAGCGGAGGCAGGCAGTATACCTCATTCATACTGTCAGGATCTTCGGTGAAGACAAGATCCTAACAACTGTTCTGCTATCCCCCACGTGCCCTAGTTGAAAGCGGAGCATGCTGTCCGAGAAGATCTTTAAGTGTTGTCTTTAGGAGAAAGTTATCGATTGTATACTTTGAGCGCTTGGCACGCATATCACTTCAGCGAATGCCGGGTGCATTGAAGCCCCGTGAGATCAGCATCCGGTCGACTTTCGACCATGTTATGGGTTCCAGCAGACATATACCTGCGTTGAGATCCGTCCTTAGTAGTCGGTATATAGTGAAAACTTCAAGGGACTGCGACCCCAGTGTTTTTATTTTCAACCAAATTGTCTCTTTATCGTCATAAACCTCCTCACTTCTCTCCCACACTGTTAAGTTGCTTTCTGCATGCATAACAACTTCTTCACCTCTCTTCTCTTCTGTCTCTCCTGAACAGTTGGCGTTCTGGGGAGACTGACAACTCCCAATGAGTGCTACAATAGACCTTTTTTGTTCTATTCTAATGGTACTATTCCGCCACAACCGAAACTCTGTGATAGCCACTTCCTCTTATTGTTATAACATATAGAGACGTATCAGCAGCCTGTATTCCCACTTTATTAGGCTTAAAAAATTGACCCTGGACATTGATGTACAAGAATTGCGGTTTGCAACATTCGGCAGTGCTTACTTTGATTTGTCTCGAGTTTTCCAACACTTTCTTGCGACTGCCACCATGAGTACTGGCTGGTTCCTGAACAACACTGCTTTCCTCTGTACCACTCGCCCTGAAACTAGCCTAGTAGTTCTATCCAAACGCAAGTCTGCCCTTCATTTCCGTCGATAATTCGCGGCGTTTCAGACGTTCCGTAAGAGATCTGTCCGATTGAAAAAAAAACACCTTACGAGAGTCTTGAAGATTGTTTTTTCTGGACGGAGGCAGATCGGCCTCTTCTTTGACGTCCATAACAATCTTAATAGACCGTGGTTGCACAGTTTTCGACGGTTTACTAACATTTTTTAAACCCTAAAGGCTGTGCGAGAGGGTACTGTCCTGTTCGGGTAAGGAATCTGTACAGCTGATGCTGGAGCATATTAACTTCAGCGGCGTATGGGCGTTTGACTCGTTCATATCTTAAACTCCAAAACAATACTGACAGTCACGAGGATCCTTTGATTTACTTCGCGCCACTTTGATGACTGAAGACTCCGAAAACGTCCTCGCCTATCTAAACTCTTCAAAAGATTACAATCAAATTATGGACTTTCGATAAGACAACCAAGCATCTGCTCTTCTTGACATGGCTTTTTGTCCGGTCGTTCTTATAAAGCGTGTTATATGTCTTTTCTGAATCTGCTCACTTCTCTTTATAATGGTCATCTCTCTGTGGTCATTATTTATTTCAACCATGGCAAAGTCTTTGACCAAGTGTCACACAGACTACTGTTGAAAAAGTCGGGGGCTCCAGGAGTCCACAGTCACCTTACCGACTCCACTAAGTCATACCTATCGAATAGGAATAAAATATATTTATGAGGTCTTCATTTTCAAATGAAAACCCTGTCATAAGCGGTGTCGTTCAGGGAATCATGGTTGGCCATCTTTTTTTGCTTTACCTAAATGATATTTCATCGGCAGTCACACATGCTCAGCCTTAACACACGCTGATGACCTTTCTCCAAATCTTCGGCCTGGCATTGCTCGGATCAAATCCCTTTTGATTTAGTACCCATTTTTGTATAAGGTTCAACGTGGCTGATGGAATTCTCTCCATTTAGATGCCACCACACGTGCTTTGGGACTGAGAATTTATCGAAATCAGTGATTTTTCAAGGCACCCTCTGAATGAATTTTACGCGAAAAAGGACTTACAATGAAATTACACCAATAATCTAAATTTCACGTAGCTCGTCGGTTGATTAAGGCCAAAGCTATCCAGATTTGTAGCTTTGTTTTTTATTTTTTCTGCCTTCCTGAAATTTAATTTAACCTTTATTTGATGCATTTTCCCCTCCATTCTTGAAGATTTTTGCCCATTCTTTGGTTTAATCGTCAAGGCCTGTCGTTCTCAAATTAGAAACGTCCAGAGGAATTTTACCAGAGAACTCTTATGTAAGATACATCCACGTACTTCCTAGTCAAATAGACGCCAACTAAGCAATCTTAAATTTAAATGGGTTCAGATGCTGAAGGCTGTATTCTGTCTTCTCTTGCGCGTCGATAATGATCCAAATCTTCCCCGGATTTCAGCCCACACCCCTGTTGGTCGTCCGCACAACCTTCGCAATTCTTCCTTAATTATTCCTCCTCCCGCTTTCCCAACTTCTTAACGCTCCCTCTTCTTTGCGTCCAGGCGTATATTCTTCTGGAATGCTTTCTTAAGTAGTATTAGATTGTCAACCTGTTCCTCTGCATATGACAAAACAGTAGGTCCTTATCTTAGCACTGGCTCGATTAACCTTTTTTCAACGCATCCTACCTGAGCAGCTTCCCTCATGGCCTCGATAAAGAGCCCTCAGAAATTTTATTTTTGAATGTGAAAGCACTGTACATAAAAGGGTCATCGAGGGTTCTGCCTCTAACCCTCCAAATATGTACATATACATAAACAATTTAGCAGATGAAAGTGTGTTGTTTCATTGTAAAATCTGTCTCGTGTTTTGAGGGTAGGGGTTCGGCAGCAAACATAAACTGATAGGCCTGAAACGGAAGTCTTGCTTTCCGAGGTCCGCGATATAGTGTTGTGCATATGTTGACCTTGGGACGCGCAATTATATCGCTGTTCGCCTTCCTATTAAGAATGCACCCGTAACGCTTTTTGGATAATTAATGATTTCTGCCGTCAGTCATCGACCAAAGAACTTCCTATCTATCCAGTTTACTGGCGACATTCGTAAGGCCATTTATATTATTGGGAAAATTTATGGGATTTCGAAATCACAAATACCTTTTCCGCAACCTTTGTTTTTTATTTGCCGATGATCTGAAGATTAGGAGCTCAATATAAAAGTCAGAGGAGACATTGCACTTGCAAAATAACTTGGGTCAATTACAACAGTGGTGTAAGGAATGACCCATTAACTTCAGTTTCAACGAACGTCCAGCCGTCCGACAGCGGTCTAATTATAGAAAAATGGTGAAAATTGAATGTCAGTATTGCGTCGGAGATCACCAACTCGAGCCAATAAACAAGTTGAGGGACATAGGCGTGTGGATGACGCCCATTCTGAAGACTTTGTCTCAGTGCGTCAAGATAGCAAAGAAGGCTATGCGTATTCTGGGGACGATTAGAAGGTCCTCTCTCCGCTTTGACGAAGAGATTTTTAGTCAAGTGCCTGGGACATTTATCCGGCCGATGTAAGAATAGTGTATTCAGGCGCGGCATTCCTGTATGAAGCAGGGCAACACTCTTTTGGAAAACGCCCAATGAAGGACGTCAAAAACAGTCGCCGTACTTGGTATAAATAGCTAGAAGGGCTTGAACGTCTTCTGTCTTATAGGTACTACAGAAGAATACGACCAAGGTCTTAAAACTCTTCAGAGGAGTATACTGTGCAATTGATTTGGCAAATGCCCACGGCCAACAATACAAATTGAAGAAAAACTGCGCCATACTTGTAGTACGGGCCGACTGATTCTCACTTTGAGTGATGGAAGAATGGAGCAAACCGTCTAATTCGGCTGATCTGGTGGTAGTAGTTCAGACGATTAAACGACGACTCGATAGCCCTTTACTTGACGGTGGCCAATGTAATTGACAAGGATTGATATAATGTACCATGTAGTTCCGTAAAATTTCACGCCTTTATCAGGGTATCTGCAAAAAGGGCTCTCAAAGTCTCTGTCTATCTAACTTATATATGTGTATGAATTTGAAAACAGGTATCCCAAGAATCATAATTCGAAAGAAATAAGCTCTTTGGGAAAGAAAAACGAGATTTATTGTAAATTTTCGATTTTGGTTCCCCAAGTCGTCTTCAGACGTGAAGTAAGTGTGCAAAACAGATAACATTCAGACATGCCGAATCACAGGAATCACATTCACACTCGAGAAAAAGGCTGACAACAAACTTCCGTTTCTGGATGTCCTCGTACAGAGAAAGCCTGACAAAACATTTCATACTTCGGTTTACCGCAAATAAACCTACGCGGAAGTTCTTCTGCATTACGAAAGCGATCATCCGATCTCTCACAAACGGAGTGCCGTGAACAGCCTCCTTAATCCAGCAAGAACTCACTGCTCTGAAAACGAAAAATATCAAACAGAATTGAATTATTTGTTCAAACTGTGTTCCCAGAATGGGTATCCTAGATATTTTGTACACTGATGCATGCGATGACAGGAGTTAAAAGAAAAAGAGAAGGAACGAGATTGTTCCGATCAGGCGCCAAAACAAAATCGGCGAACGCTCGAGTACGTCGACAAGGTGTCTGAACTAGTTGAAAGACACCTGAGTAAACACCAAATACATGTGAAAACAAGCCGACGACTACACTTCGTAACCAGCTTGTACACCCTAAGGATAGGGTTGGCTATTTAGATAAGAAGGAAGTCGTCTATGAGATATCATGCAACACCTGTAATGCGGTTTTCTGTATTCAAACTGGGAAATCGGCCTCCACACGAATACACAACTATCAGTTGACCGCAAAAAGGCGAGACTACTTGTCCCAAGTTGCCAAGCATGCGTTGGAAACTGGACACCAATTTGCCTGGGACAGGACTCGCATTGTAGGTGTCTGATTATTTAAAAAGGGGCGGGAATTTTTTGGGTCCATCCATTCTGATAACGCATGCATCAATCGACACGTAGAATTGGAAACGGAATACAACAGCCTCAAGGAAAAGTGGAAAAGGAGTTAGCCAATCAGAACATTATACCAGCCGCAGTGACAAGGCAAATCGATCAATAAAAATAATAATAATGTTTAGTTTAATTTTTTTCGGCATGTTTAAATGTTAACTGTTTTACACACTTACTTCACGTCTGAAGATGAATTGGGGAACCAAGATCGAAAAATTACAATAAACCTTGTTTATCTTTCCCAAATTTCTTATTTCTTTCGAAATATATATAGGCAGAATGGTATAAGCAACAAATACAAGAAAGACTGGAATGGCCATTTCTGGCTTGTTTGTCGTCGTCAGCCAGTCATACCCAACCCCGAAGTATGGAACACCCGAGGCTTGAGCTCGCGACCTGTTAATTAGAAGTTCACGCCTCTAACCACTGGGTCACAAGCCCACTGCCCTGTCAGTTACCATCGGGAATATGCAGTAGTAGGGGGCGCTTCCCTATCAATATATGCATATATGTAACAGCGGGGAGGGACGACAGACAATGCGGGTAGATTGACACCGTACTGCTTCTGGCTTATTCTGCCTTCATTTAGCCAATCATAACCCTGACCAACAGCTGCGACCAGAAACACAAACATGCGCAAAGACGCACCTGGCGCAGTTGATCCACCACTGGGGTCTACCATATGAGTCATCGGCACTTCATCGAAACGAAGTTCATCAGTTGCTCGCAACCTGTCATTCCCTGTCGCTGCAGATTGGGTATTTATTCAATCCGGAATGGGCGTACACCAGTCTATTAGCTTCACGAAGAAAATAAGCTCCAGTAGGTGGCAAAGGTCACTAACAGGCAACAAACTACATGGCCGAGGTCGGACAAGTCGTAACAGCAGCGAGGAGGTACGACAGAGAATGCGGGTAAATTGATACAGTACTGTTTCGGACTTATTCTGCCTTCATCCAGCCAATCATAACCCTGACAACCAGCAGCTGGGACCAGAAACACAAACATGCGCAAACAGGGGCGTAGATTTGGACGATTAAGGTGTCCAGAGGTTGGGTCTTTATAGGTCAGTATATTTTAAGGCTAATAGGCAATGCCTTTGAAAATCCTATTGAAAACGGTACATGCAATATCTGACTTTAAATAAACGTGGTACCGAAATTTTGCCAGTAATATATACACTTAACAGGGTAGTTTTCTTTGAATGTGCACGACGGAAACTCGAGAACACTTAGTTTTAGATGATAACGATAAAGGGAATTGACAACCACCCGCAGTAGTGGTAGGTGTATGCAAGACGTTGGTTTGGCACAACAGAACTGTTTTGTCCAGATAAGCGTTATTTTGCAAACAAGTATACATCTAGTCTTTGCTTAAATATATCCATGGGACCCGCCATTATCACGTACTTGGGAAGCCCGTTCCAGGTACCCATGACTCGCTCCGAAAAATAGTATCTGCGAACGTCCAGGCGGCATCGGGATACTCTAAGTTTTAGAGAGTTCCCACGCATGTTTGTTGTTGTGTCCAAGGTGAATAAATCGTCGAAGTTTAGGGCACAGTCCCGGTTCCTCAAAATTCGATACGCATGTGTGAGATCCCCTCGGATCAGCCTGTACTCAAAAGGAAATACCTTAAGCTAATCAAGTCTGCAGTTGTAAAGTCTTGAGGCCTTTCACAATTTTGATAGCATTCCTTAGAACTCTTTCCAGCAACTTAAAGTCTTTTTTAGCCACAGGCGACACGCTTGGATTCCATATTCCGGATGCAAACGAATGAACGCTCCGCATACTTTTCGAAATAACTCTTTGTCTATCTCTATGAAAGTGCGTTTAATTGTAAATAGAACAGTGGTTGCCCTTTCGCCGCCCTAACGCATTGAGGGGAAGGCTTAAGAGTCGACAAGGGGTGATCTCAAGATCTTTTTGTTCGGTCACATTTAAAAGGCACCTTCCGTCAAGCAGGAAATGGTGATCCTCTTCATTGGCTCTTCCATTCGTTTTAAGTCGCATTTTAGCGGCCGAGGACGTCAGGGGTAGCACACACCAAGGTAAGGAAACGCTGAGAAGAGATCCTGGCTGAGGTAGACCTGAACGGAACTGTTATCATCTGTCGAAACTCATTCACACGCAGAATAAGAAAGTACGTCAAGTATGGGATATAGAGTAATAGAACGTCATGGATATGGAGAATGCGCAAAACAAACGTTAATGTACACGCGGACTGACGAACTGCGAATAGATGACCTGACTGGATGGGTAGGTGACCGTAAAATGAACAGCTGGTGAAGGTGCAGCGCTGTGGGTAGCTGCAGGGAAGGGCCGAGGGGGGGCGACGTTGAGTGGGAGAGAGACGACAGCGAGATTGCGTCGCGGAAGGGGGTTATCGGCGGCAGCGAGACGGAGGGACACCGGCCGTCATCACCAGCACGCAGTCACACTATCTCCACCCGAGGTACGCGCCAAAAGTGTTACAAAAGTCAAGCAATACTGTACGTGTCAAGGGACGTTACATCAGCGCGACGTACTTCTCAGGGTTAAACTTCAGCATCCATTTGTCAGACCATTTGCATAGGCGGTGCAGTCCCTCTTACAGGGCCCGTTCATCATTTTCCCCGTCGATTGCTCATCATAACTTGGCGTCATCGGTAAACATGACTCCATTGCAGCCCAGTCCATCCATACAGTCGATGACATAATTAAAAACGGTAGTGGTCCGAGTACAGAGCCCTGGGAAACTCCATTCACAACGACCAATGACGTTGACTTCGCATTATCAGTAAACACAGACTGTGATCGGCCAGTTAGAAAGTCTTTTACCAGTTTAATAGGCTCCCCCTTCTCCCAGACTCTCGGACCATGTAAAGTAAGAGGCGTTGTGGAGCACTATCAACGGTTTTCTTGAAATCGATGCAAACGATATCGACCATTGTTCCTTCGTCTAACACGCGGGACCACTGTTCCGGTGAATAGAGCATATTAGTTAATCAGGAGGGATTTCGTCGAAAGCCATGTTGGAAACTAGCAATAAAATTATTTTCTTCAAGGAACTCCACAATGGCTCTTTTGACTACATGGACTTACGGGATTTTTGAGTTACTCATATCCAGAGAAAGTACCAAACACATGCTGGCACCCGCTGCGTCTCTGGCCATGATTCTAGCACTCAGAGACGGCGGGATAAAATTTAGAATCGTTTGTTTTGGGAGCAGACATGAGTTGTATTTGCAGTATATTTATGCAAGTGACACACATTTATCAATTAGGGAGATTACAAAATTGATCAACAAAAGTTCTCTCAGAAGAACGAGAACATATTGAAGTTGAACTTCCTTCCCCGTAGACATTTACTAAAACGTTATGCGATAAACTCTCGTATAGATATGATTTCCAGGAACTAGATGGAAATTAATTCAAAAATTTTCTCATCGATTTTGGTGGTGATCACTACAGGAATCAACTTAATCACATCATTTGCCCACATAATTAAATGACGACATTTTAATATAGCGAAGTCTGTTGGTTTTTCCCCAACTCGTAGGTCTAAAACCTTCTAACTTTCGATGCCAATGAGGCCATGATCTTCATGCCTTAATTCTTACCCCGACGATTAGCAGTCCAGCAAGCTTAAGTATTTAATATGCAAACAGTCCAGTTCTTATGCTAAAAAAGAGCCGCCTCGTTGTTTGGGAGCCGAAATAGGACTTCACACAAGCTAAATTATGGCCGAGGACTTCTCCGACTTCAACATCTGCGTTTTCTATATAAAAGTGCGCTCCTAATCGAAAGCTCATGAAGAATAGTCATTAATTAATAAGAGTTGATACACATGGAAAATTAACTAAAATACTGTCAATGTTTCCCCGTAACCGTAAGGCCATCCGGTTGTGTTTATCTGCTCTACTTACGGAAGACCACGCGTGCAAGCCGGGCGCAAGTTATTACGATGGAGCCGGGGATGACTTTTGACGCTTCTGTTTACCACCAGTTCCCAAATTATCCTGCGATGGAGCAAGATTACATGCGTTTTCTATCTAAGGGTAAACAAACAGATTCTGTTCATGGTAAGAAACAGGCTCCGGTAAGTCTTTAACTTGGGTTTTTACGTCTTTTCCATATAGGAAGGTAGCTCCTCTTTGGCCAATGAAATCCAGAAGGTCCGGGAAACTATTAAGTCTTCCTTGGAGACTGTAAGTTTTTGTACTGACTTCCCACTGTTTCACTAGTTTGTTACTGTACCGTATTTCCAACAGAGCGCACGCATGCATGATAGCATTTAGTCACCCTGGGCTAGACATTTGCTAGCCCGTTTGACTTGCGAGCTGGTGTAGGGCCATTAATCTGACTAGCTGAGAGTGATCCATCCGTGCGAGGAAAGTAGCTTTTCTGCTACACCTTCTCGTTGATGCTCACACGAGTGCGTTTTCCACGTCACGCCTGGGGGTCCCTTTGCGCATACGCACGTATGCAGGGTGCACGCACGCACTTTTCCGGAATTTAGGCCCCCGTCTGGCGACTTATAACGCCTAGGGCTACAACGCCCTCAGCTCGCCCAGGAAGGCGCATCACCCTACTGTCCCTGTGTGGACAGTGTCCTCTAAGATTGCTATTAAATCCAGTCAATCGCAACGCTAGCCAGCGACCGGGCTAGTCCTGGGCGAGTAGAACGCTATCAGGGTGTCAGCTAACAGACTCATGCTAGTCTGTATTTTATTTGCCCTCGTTTCTAAGGTCTGATCTAGCGCAAATACTATTGATTTCTAGTGAAGGTGCATCATATGCGTCATATGATGCGGTGTCAGGCTTGCTTTCGCACACTGTCTTGATTCCCTTTATATACTTGGCTGATAGCTGCTGGGTAGCGATTCGAGCATGTTTGCTCAAATCTTCGCCTTTTCCAGCAGGATAGGTTTTTTTTTCACCTGGGCTCCTCAACGCAAGGCAAGTTCCCAACCATGTCTGCCAGGTTGGCTCGTGGTGGTATTTCGAAGATCCCAGGTAAATGTGGGCCATCCAAGCGTGTGGAATTACGATTCACAACGAAGAGCCCTCTATCTGGGGAAGTTAAAAAGTGCTTTCCTCTTTGTCTAGGACTTGCCTGCGCTATCGACTATACTACCCATGTCACCATTAGTTAGGGGCTCATTCGTCAGGTCAACTAATTGGTCCTTGTTTTGCAGTAACGTTTTCTCAGTGCCTACCAGGGAGTTGAATTTTCCGACCACAAACCGAACAGAATTTCTAGTTCGTCTCAAATTGAAATACGGTTGTTCAACGACTGGAGTTTGACCATACAAGTCGACACCAGGTCAGGATGCTGCCTTCGGTGCCTCCACATCCAGGAATGCAGCCGTTTTCCTCGAACAGCTAAACACTTCTTGCTGATATTTCTGGTTAGGACACCGTGTTGTCGAGACGAAATTTTTACAGAGTTGACACATTGTTACAGACGCGAGCTCGGAAGTAGCGATTTTCTGCGCACACTAGCCCAGAAATGTGGTTGCTGATCCGTGATCACAACGGCATGCCAGTGAGTTCTTGTGGGACGCCGAAGACGTGTGCACGACGAATCGCTTTTGCTCAATACCTGGTTAGTCTGAAGATTTCTGTTAGCCGCCGTCATGGGCGGAGAATAGTTTACTCCCAAAATGTTGGCTATCTCACAGTCAGAATCTTCATATTAGGCAGACCACAAGTTTTCGTGCTTTTTGTAAATGTAATGTAATCAGACCGGATCTTAGGGCCAAGTTTCCAGCACTGTAGGTCTGTTTCCGACCGAGTTCAGTCTCAGTATATTGGATTGTTTCAGTCCCATCTGACACTACAATGGGTCTGAGTGCCACTCTCACCACACCATTTGATCCTTTGGATACAGGGCTTCCTAACTGCCATGGGGCAATCACATTCTGTCCGACAGCTCTTTTGTTGACCGTGCAACACTGGTCGCGTCCGAGTCTCCTGCACAGGCCATCAGGATTCCCAATTGGCACTGCCACATCCGTTTGGTCCCTTTGATCGGCCGCCAGCGAAGTCCTGTCAACTTTGTTGCACCAGGCGCCATTTTTTCACTCTGGAACAGCCCATTATTAAAGCAGCACGTAAGACCCCCCATTCAACGCCCGCTGACCCAATAAAAAATCTACAAGCACGCCAGATCGTAGCCGGTAGTACACAGGCCTTTGACCGAAGCGTGGAACGTCTGTTTACTTGTCAACTGGATGCGGGTTCAAACGTCAGTTTTTCTCAGCCTGGACTGGAGGTGTGGGCGGTTGACAACGGCGGGTAAATCAGGAATTATCATTCCATTCTCCATCGGCTTTGAAAGGAATTTTGGAATCTGGCAAAAACACGCCTGCACCAGCGCGTTATTCAGGATTTACTTTTGTCCTTCAACACGCCCAGCATTATCATTTGGGAAAAAAACTTTTTTTGTAAAATATCTCAAACAGTACTGTCCAGTAACTCTGTGTTCCTTATAATGCCTTGGCATTTTCTTATCCGCTAGGCTGCTCCTCCGGGGTCCGCTCCTCCCAACAACCGGCAGCTGGATCGCCTAGAGAAAGGTAAGTATACAAGCTTCCCACGGTTAAAACGCCTATGAAACATCTTGATTGATACCGATAATCTTTTCGTCCAAATTTTGTCCCACTTCGTTCATCAAGATGTGTCGACTGAATTCGTCGACACACCCTTCGTAAAGGTGTTCCTCTTAACGACTCACTGTCTACCTTCCGCCTGTTATTGCTTAACAGTAAAACACTGCTGACTCTGATTTAATGTCGGCACATGCTCAAGTCCAGTTCGATGCCTCCGAGATGTCGGATTTCCACGTATTTTGGTTATCTCATACAATCTTCCATCCAACACCGTTGACTTTGCATCCCAGGCTTTGTAGGCACCTTCAGTTTCTTCGTCCCTCATTCTCTTCCTATTTGCAAGATTTTTAAGTTTCTGACCGTCAACCCCTTTGATTATTGTCGCGTGCGTTGTGTGCACAGAAACGCCGAGCTGTCTCATCCGTTTTCGTTTCCTTGCTCATTTCCGAATTTTCTCGGTCCTGACACGACAAAAGTACCGATGCCTGTTAGTGGCCTGACTCGAACTTACTTGACGCTGCTGTAAACCACGTTTCCATATCTTGTAGTGCCTTTAGTTTATTCTGTTGTTATCCGTATTCGTATTAGTGAATTAAAAGCAATATAAACTCTGGAAGTAGTATATATATATATATATATATATATATATATATATATGAGCTACGGAACCCGATGATATATTTTTTTCGGTGATTTCTTCACTTAGAACGACGGGGAAATCATTAAACAATTACATGGGTTCACTTTAAGATGTCCTGGTGCATGAGCGCCGTCAACACTCCCAGTAACACGCACAAACTCATTTATCACATCGCACTTTTATCTGTTAGCGTCGTTTTTTGTGGGGAAGTTAATTCAGCATACTTAATTTGCTACTTTCGTCCAACTTCACATTAAGTGTCCGAGTGCCCTTGTTGAGCCCTCGCTGTTAACGTTTCTGACCTAATAGACAAGTTTTATCCGGAAACAACCTGGTTAGGCGCCAGCCGAGTTGTTGCTACCTGACGCCGTCTAGATGGGCTGGTCTTCACAGAAGATCCTCTACTTTCTCTTTAGTGGTGAACAGTCTAGTCTCCCGTGTCCAGGAACTTGAGGCAACAATCGAGCGCCTGAAGTCTTTGCACCTCCCTAGTTCCGCCCCGACCCAGGCTGCCGCGGAAGCCACAAAACCCGCTGCACCGGCCAAGGCGGCTGATGATGAAGATGACGACGATGTGGACTTCTTTGCCTCCGATGAAGACGTAGGTTCTCCAATTAGCACTGTAGCTACTTCATCCCATCCAGCTTTGGGCCTTTTCGTATGCTTCACTTATTCATACCTTGAACTTGCTAGGCTAATCCGCAACGAAGAAGGCCCTACTCTCTAGACCTTGTGCTCCGCCGAAAATTTCCACCCTTACTACTAGTGTCCCCGCTCACCGGTTGTTTACTCGATCCGTTTTTGATCCCCTGTGGCCTCGCCAGGCTCTCGGCGCAATCGGCGTTCTTATATTCTGACAGATTACTGTTTTTAACCAGACCTTGAAGTCGCTCGATTGAATCGTAGAAAAAACTCTTGGTTTGCAGCTGATGCACACGATGGCAAGTGCTGACATATTCGTGATTGCCACAAGCAAGAACCTGCAACTTGTGCTCGTTGCTGTTAGGAGCGGTTGCATGAACCATGATTCACACTGCCGTGGGTCGGCTGGTTTCACTCTCGATGCACAATATTTGTTAGACCGTAGTGCCAAGACGATGGGTGTATCCTGAGCGCTGCCATCATTGGGCCAAGTCCTGATGAGTCGAGGAAGAGTGAAGACACCGATGGAAGGATTTATTCCGAGTTATCGTCACGGGCAATAGTTGACACTGATGAAAGCAGGGCGTGTGCTGATGATGGTAGGTGTCGGGCCATTCCAGTCTCCCTTGCCTTTGTCGGCAATACCATACTGCCTTTATCATGCGCCGCCGTGCGGCTGCTGGTTGGGCTGGAGAGAGAGCGTGTAAGGCACAACGGAACAAGTGAGTTCCGTAATAACGAGTGGTGAGCGCCCCCTACCACTTACAGGTGCATCGAAACTGGGCCGATGCTAAGTGGAAGTGGTCTGTGTTGCATTACCCAAGACCTAGTGTGTTCGACTGGGCGCACGAACAAGTGTGATTGTTTGGGTGCGCATATCCGTGCTGAAGTCAGTTGAGGTATTTCAGCTCAGCGGGTTGAGGACCAATTGAATTGGTTTCTGCAGTGGGGTTGTTCGTGATGGTAATTGACTCTGAGTCGTTCAGACTTTGAAATGGAGATGGGCGGTGTGATGACACGATGGGCTGCAGAGCTGCCCTTGGATGAGGCGTCTGATTTTACTCCAGGGGCAGTTGTATGTAGACCCGGACACCTCTGTTTGTTTAGAGTTCATCCAGGAAGCACGCCCCTCACAAACCACCTTGACCGAAGAGTCATTGCTCCATGTATTCCCACTTTGGACTCATGACTGTGCAGATATTTCTGATTGACGCGTCCACGGTGGCTGAAACAACTGGTTAAATTGCAAACCGATCGACTCACAAATAGTCACCTTCAATCGTCCTCGGTGAACCGCAGACCTCTGGTTCACAGGTGTACTCAAAGTCCACTGTCAGCAAGTTCAATCTTGTAACCTCGAGGCCGTCACCAGTCAGCACTTGGTTTGTATGCAATGGCATTCAGACACTTTTATCTTGAAGTAGGCCCAGTGAATGGCTTAATCACCAGAGAGGGTGTGTTTCACTAGTTTGTCCAAATCAGCCGTTCACCGATTTGTTTGAGGCTCCACCAGGGAACTAAGTTTGGAGATAAGCGATCAAACAGTCCACAGAACACTCACAGAACGCACAGATTTCTGTTTGGTACGCGTTAACTTGGCTTGTCTCACACTTAATTTAAGCCTTTTATGGTTTGTAACCGACGTTTATTTTAATCCCTATCCTGACCTTTCGGCACGAAGTCCGACGCGTTAGCAGAAACTGTCTTCAGACTCACCAACTGCCATTCGCCATGACTTTAAAGTGGTTTTCTCGCATAAAACCCATAACGATCTGCTTGTTTGGAAGATGTATTCTACTCTGCTTGTGTCCATGAATCTGCATGCAAGCACGTCAGCGCCTAGATGTTGGCGTTGTTCAGACGCCATATGCACGAATCACCGCCGAGTGAATCTGCTAGCATGCTTTGAAGCACCCTGTCAGTACTATAGTCTGAAGGCGGCAGTGGAGCTACGCAGCCCACACCAGAAATTATGTCGAAGTCGTTCTCTCACGGAGTCAAAATGCTGGAAAATCGAAAAACCGCGACAGGTGGTGGTCAATTATAGCGGTGACGGCGTTGAAAGGGTTGGTGCCTTATCAGAAAGCAATTTAAGAAGTGACTATGAAGTGTGATGGTATCGCCAAGTTTTCCTATGATGAGATTGTCCGTACACAGCGTGGCTGCAGTCTACATATAAGACTCCCACGTCGCAACGTTTGCGTAGTCGAAAATTTATGCCACGGGGGACGCTGTCTCGTGGGAAGTTTACACGAGAACCTAGTCTTGCATCGAGAGAAGAGCCCACTGAACTACTAAGAATGAGATCGGAAAGCCTTTCCGAACGCTGCAGCCTGTGATCAAGGAAGTCGCTCAAATACTGTGATCGGACATATTTCATGAGGTTCGTAAAGACATGCAGGTGGTTCTTGGACCTTCGGTATTCGGTCTGCGTCGTTGGCGAAGGGAATGGGTCGAACTGTCCAGATCTGCTGCCGCGGATCGTCACGCGTGGAGAGGTACAGTTCGTGGCATCATGGAGGTCGGCTAGATCAGGCATGATCGCAGCCGTATCAAGTACAAGTACAAGTAAGTCGCTCAAATCGAGTGTCGCGCTCTTGACCGATTGAAGACGAGCCTGTCCTTTGGGCCTCCACGGAGTGACGAATAGTTGAATGGCATTCAGTGTAGGTTAGACGCGAAATGGACAGACATGATTTTGTCGCCTAAACTGTCTTGGACAAGCGGTGGTACTTCTTGCAGGATTCGGAAAGTTGACGTTTTTCGGGCCAACTACGAGATCCCGCTGGACCAATGGGAACATAGAACTGTAGCGAGAACGAGTCGCCATTAAACAAGCTCTTGCCTCGCTGTCTTTCGGCTTCGGGCTGGGCGACCCACTTGTGCCTAATCATAGGCAGTTACGAAGGTCCATTCATCGCGAATCTTCGTAATTATGTATTGAGCCTACAATTTTTGGCCAGTTGAATCAGTAATGATGACAGATGTCACAAATGACTACCTCAGGGCTTTGAATGGCCATTGTTAGCTTCTATCTCTTCCCCCCCTTTTGTGTCTTAGGACGAGGAACACGAACGACTGAAACAAGAACGTGTGGCCGCCTACAATGCCAGGAAGGCCAACAAGGTGAAGGAGGTCGCCAAGTCTGCCATTGTCCTTGACGTCAAGCCATGGGACGACACGACCAACATGCAGGAGCTTGAGACCCTCGTGCGTGGCATCAAATGCGACGGTCTGCTTTGGGGTGCCTCCAAACTCGTCCCTGTTGTCGCCTCTATCAAAAAACTCCAGATCGCCTGCGTAGTCGAGGACGACAAGGTGAGTCTGCGTCTCCCCGTCCTCCCCACTCGCCGTAGACTGGGTTTTCAATCCTAAAATCTTGAATTTTCCAAACCACATTATCCCCTCCCCCGTTATACCTCTTGTCGTTTGTGACAGCGATTTTTTTTTGCCACTCGGTAATGGTCATCGCTCATATATCCTATTTGTAGGCAACAGAGCGTGAGCCCGAAAGTTTGAACAGACACAAAAGTGCTCATTACGACCCACTGAACCCGTGGTTCGGACCTCGGGTGCTCAAACAGTAGTTGATAACAGTAACTGCTCCAGAAAGGGCTATTTCAGCCTTTGTCAGTAGCATTTCTTTTTCTTTGAGAGCCAGTGGTTGCGCTTCTTTTTGGCCCAGAATGTTGGGCTCTTCTCAGAACTCTGTTTTTCTATTAGCAAACCTACACAAATCTGTTAATCCTGATTTAATTTATTTTCCAATGCGATGAAGTCCACTGCCTATTAGCAGCGATTTTTACTCTCTGATTTTTTGACGAAGAATATCCGAATACTTCGTTGATCTTATTAAACCACTGACGGTTGGAAAATATCAGGCGCTTCGCGTTTGCACTCCATGCTATACTGTCTTCCAAGTGATTTCTATTGCTTATTCTTCCTCGCACCTTACATGAAAATTTCCAAGGATCCTGGAAGATATTTAAAATATCCATTACTTGCTGAATTATCTCCTTGCGTTTCTGCTTGTTTTGTTAAAATTCCACGTTGCATATTCCTGCTTAAAATGTCAGAATAACGGATGCTACATAATTCTTAAGCTTCGTAGAAACCCCACAAACAGTTTTAGTCTGTTTGGAATATCTACTTGGATGAAAATTCCCGGAGAGTTGATTGTACCTTGCGAACTGTTGCTGACTTGATTGGGTAGCAATAATGTGCGGCGCCGGCAGTTTATTGCTCCTGTCTCTGGCAACGTTTATTTTGAATGTTATTCAAGCTTCATCCTCCTCAGACTTGACTGTTCTCCTTTCCTCCAGGTGAGCTTGGACTTCCTGGAAGAAACCATTACTGGCTTCACTGATCACGTCCAGTCCGTCGACATTGCCTCCTTCAACAAGCTCTGAGTGTGAAATCCACCCTGAGACTTTGGACCTCAACTCTACAACTGTGCAGTCCTTCCCGGTTGCTATCACTGTTATTTATTAGGCAAAATGATTCATGGTCTGCCTGTTCTTGGTTACTCCTCACTTTATCACCTTTAAGATGGTCGCCCCAGAAACCGCGTTCAGTGTCTCCGGAGGGGGGGGGGAGAGGCAAGGCGAGTGGTCAGACAGTGATGCCGGCCATTTTGTGCCATTTAGCGTGGCCGATTTTGAGTGGCAGTCGTTCTTATTTTCTGCCGATGGCATTTTCTTTGAAGAATGTCCCGATGATACTGTACCGCTTGGCCTATGCCTACCCCTCGCTCGTTTAATGCTCTGCGGCTTCTCATTACTGCACTACAATGGACGACCATGTGGCGGTGAGCATACGGAGTCCGGACCTACGTACCAGTTTGTCGGACCCTACCCCGCTTACTCGACCTAAATATGCCACGGTGGATGCCAATTCTAGAAGAGCAAAATCAGAACCCCATACAGGGGGCGCGTTTCAAGCTAAGCATGATATAGAGAGAAGACGAAGAAGGGGTTGGTCGTCCCTCATGTCTCCGCATATCTGGCTGGGCAGCTAAGCCCGCGCAGGAGTCTAATAAGCATAGGCAGTACTGTCAGTCCGTCGGATCTCGAACAGCTCTTACCCTTATCGGCTGTTCGCAACGTCGAATTTATGGTCCGCCTCTGGGGTGTTGATTGTGGGTCGCCACTCTACACTCCCGTGTTGTGATTCTCGCCCCTGAGCCGTATAGTCGTAGTTCGGAAGCAGACGCAACTTCAGGCATTGAATCCCTGCTGGCATCCGTTCGATTGGCGACCAACGCCGCATTCGGCAGCGGTGCGCTCTGTCGCCCCGGGCGTTTTGCATGCATGGTCGAGTTTGGGGTGACGCCCCTTCCCGGTGGTCTAGTCGGGGAAGGTATTTAATCGGCCGATTTTGTTGTTATGGCACTCGAGCCAGAGAGGAATTTAAGGGTAAGTGGCCCATGAGCGGGGTCAACCGTAGTAAGTGCGTAGTCCCCCCCCATCTCATCCTTGTCTCCTGCTTATCAGTCCGTCATGCCATAACAGTCGCCCTCCCCTGAGACAGACTCCGATTATGGGTCCGAGTGGGTATCCGAAACGTTAGGCGAATAAAATTATCTTTCCGACGACTGCATCTCCCCGCAACCAGGCTTTCTCCAATGCTTAGTTCGATGTCTGGCTACCCCGTCTAGACTCACCTTCGCCTACTGGTTAACATGTCTCAGCTGAAAACTACGGGAGACCCATACATTCGTTTTTAATGTGAACTCTGGGCCACGTGGACATCCAGTTGGCTTGTTGTTTCCCGTATAAAGCGGCCCAAAACTTTCCATGCACAGTCCGGGAGTTGAAATGAATATTTGAGCTGAATCCATCAGCCCCTGCGGGTTTCAGTTGACATTTCATGAGTTAGCCCACCTACTGTATGTCAGCTACTGCGCCAACCTCCGGTCGTCTGAGCATTGTCTTGCTTTCAGAGCAAAGTGACTGAGGGAGAGAGTGCGGCGGACGCTACGCAAGTCCGCTCCACTGGTTGATGTGCAAGTCACTGGTGCCGCACTCACTCCGTCGGTCGCAACGGTCGAAAAAAATAGCAAAAGCAACTTAGCTACTTTGTTCTTGCCAACCTTTTTGCTCCCTTCATGGTTTATAACTTTCGTTGAACTGCGTTATAGCTGACTGGTAAACTACTGCAGGAACAATCCGTCCAGCTGAACCTATCCTTGCGAGTATCGATTCTGCCGGAGTGCACGGCCTTCATGATGAGTATTTCGGAGTGGCTAGGGGACTGGGCGTCGGACTTCTCCATTCCCATGGCGTCTCAGTCACTTGAAGGCGTGTGTGTAGCACGCGTAGACGTCTTGTTTGGTTGCAGTAGGTGGGCTAACTCATGAAACCTCGACCGAAATTTCAATAGAAGTCTTCATTTCGAAAAGACCAGGCATCATGCAGCATAATTATACAATAACTCAGTTACCCCGGCATGTTCGCTTTCAAACAAACTTCTTTCCGGCTGCATACAAAAAGCATACTCTGTGAAAAGTGACTGCGTAAGTAGTATGCACTTCTGTCAATGCTCTTCGCTGCCGTTGGAAATGAAATTATATTTAATGGAAAAAATACTTAAAATATTCATTTTTTTACTCATTCGGTGGAATTTTTTGCGTCTTTTCCCAATTTTATACCCGAAGAAAGTGTATTTTTCGATTTTGAAAAACTCTTCTAATTCCTGAATAATTTTGAACCCGGCCTGTCATTACACTTGCCTTCAGGGTTCCCAGACTACAAGCCGTATATTTTCTCCGTACGAACAACCAAACATTGCTTTGCGGTATTAAGGGGAGACCATATGGGGTTGATAAAATTTAGCAGTGGATTTGGGCAATAGTGTTAACTTTACAAGCCACATTCGTAAATGCAGATGCATGACGTTTTAAGAATGACCATTTCAGGGTATTAAACATTAAAATTTGTAAAACCGAATGTTACCCCTTCTTCGGGTATAAAATTGTAAGAATACGTCATTTCCTACTGAATGAGCAAAAGATTGAATATTTTTATGTCTGTTTTCCAGGAAATATTTTTGGATTTTTAAGGGCGCCAAAAATCAATGAGAAAAATTCATGCTACGTAAGTGGCCACTTTTTGCCGGATGTGGTTTTTTCATGCAGCCGATGAGGCGTTCGTTCGGAAGCCGGCATCCTGAGGTAATTGAATTAGTACAGGTTTATTATTTATTTTTATCGGGTCGTCTGAGCATTGTCTTGCTTTCAGAGCAAAGTGGCTGAGGGAAGGGAGAAATAGAATATGGCAGGTGCTATGCAAGTCCGCTCTACTATAAACTGCAGACGCCGCAGAATACGAGAGATACCGAATGGAGGTTGCAGAAGTAGTGGGGAACATCCCCCCAAAATAATTAATATACGCAAGTGTGCAATCGCTTGATTAGTCACCTTCACGACGGCCTTTGTAGCGCGTACACTCAAAAAATGCTCACTTCAGTAGTTTGCCTACTTCCTGTCAACCTCCGACTATCGCAGCTGCGTTAGGCAGTGGCACAAGATCGGCGAAACGCGTGTCTGGGCTTTTAGTTTCTGCCTGTGCTGTCAGTACGGCAAATAATTGCACATTTCTATACCACTGGCTGCCTGTTGGCGGTTTGTGGATATTACGCGGTTATTGCGCAGCAGCTGATGGATTTCAGCTCAAGTATTCATATTAAACTTTGGATCGTGCCTAAAAAGGTCTGTTTCGAAAGAGTTACTCCAAGTTCGCGCATTAATTTCCTCGGAAATTAAAGAAGGCAAATAAGAAACTTCAGTTGCAACGCTCTGTCGCCAGCGCGAAAATTGTTCGGTTTCCTCGTATCTCTGTTTCCTATCGTTACGACTTCATCAGCATTGCTAGTGGCTGACAGAGATGAGGGGGACTGATATTGTCTCACTTGGTAATGGACTCAATCAGCTGGCGACTAATGTCTCATCAAACTTGTAGGTGTGGGCGATCCTGACAAAGTGATTTTGACTCGAAGTTCGTGCCATTCCTCCTAGCTATTGCAGCCTGTTCACTCATCTGCGTTTGGAGAAATATTTCAGATTCTCTGATTCAATGAATCTAGAATACCAGAAGAATCAAATTTACGCTCGAGCGGTTCACTCACTCACTCACCCACCACCACCATCACCACCTAATTCTCAAATTCACTACTGTTGTGCAACTTAGTTAGAAATGAAAATGGACTCACAATTCACAGTAACTTATGGGTTTCAGCTCAAATATTCATATCAAATTTCGGACCGTGCCTGAAAGGGTCTGTTCCGAATAATTTCCTCCTAGTTCGCGCATTAATTTCCTCGAAAATTAAGCAAGGCAAAGCAAACCTGGAATTCATATATCAGAAGACACACGGGGAAGGCTGGAGGGACACACTGATGAGTCGAACCCCTCGCAGCTGCGTCAGGCAGCGGCATAAATTCGGTGAAACACGTGTGCCCGGGCTTTTAGGTAGTACCTGCGTTTTCACTACGGTAAATAATTACATAATTGCACGTCTTCTGTTCTCAGGCCACACTTTCGGTTGTTGAAAGCGATGGAGCTAACGCTCATTTTGACAGAACACAACAACCGTCACTGACTGCATCTGCAGACTTACGGCAGACCGCTCTGCTACTGTTTACCTCTGTCGTCCTCGGCTCGCCTTGTATGCGTGACTCAGCCTGTGACGCCGACCAATATTGCTCTTCGCCGATTGGCCACTGCGGAACGGAGTTTGGAAGTATGCACCTTGACTGACACTTGTCCGGTTAGAACGCTGGCTGCAACTGCTTGCGGCACTGCGACTCTACACTCAGCCTCAGTAAAGGCGTGTTCGTCTAACTTTCGTCCTTTAAGTGGTCAACCATCGTAGCTCGAGAGACCTGATGACAGGCGGTAACCTGGGCTTTACAGGTAGGCCTCTAACTGAAGCCCATGGTAACCGAATGCGAATCCAAGAGCACTTCGCCGGCTCTTGCATCTGGACCATTTTGTGCACTCTGTCTCTTCCGCACACTTCGGCATCCACTCAGATCGGCAAAGCTGAGAGATCCGGGTTGATGGACTCACCGGAACAGGCATATTTAGGTGTTGACGTTTCGAAGAGCTTGATCGGCTCTGCATTGTCAAAGCGTAAAATGTACTTAATCGACCAGAGATCCCAAGTGGCGTGTCATGTAGGTCGGCCTCGTGCTGATCGATTTTTCTCCTCTCGCCGCCTGGGCCTCTCGGGGGCTGGTTGACGGGCGTTTTGTCTGTATGCTTAATGAGTCAGCACTCCGTCGAGGGGAGGTGATTGAACCTTTGTCAGGTGGTCGGTTTGGCGACTCTTTTTCTTCCTTACCGAGTAAACTCGCCGTCCGGCTGTCTCTGTATGGCCTTCGTAAGTCCGGTGTGTTTGTTTGGTCCTGGGCTCTACGATTATGATGACGTAGGACTTTGTAAGCTACAGGAAGGTTCAGATGCCTGTTGATGGAGAGGGAATCGGAGAACCACGCCTCGAGAGTTAGCCGTCCTGCTTTTCTGTTGCCCCGGCCTAAGATGGTAGCTCGCTGGAGATCGAAAGTATGCCCGGTTACACCAACGTCTGTTGCTAATTGAGAGTTTGGGTCTAACCTCCGAGTAGCCGATTTGTGCTCTTGTAGGCGAGTCTGCAATTTCGCCCGGTTTCTCCCACATAATTACAGTCACCCTCATTGAAATGTATTTTGTAGATAACTGCTGGGGTTTCGGCGGATGGCAATGGGTCCGTAGGTTGTATCAGACGGCGTCGAATTGCTGCATGGCGTCGGTGGGCTATGCCTACTCTGGCAGGTTGTAATAATCGAGAGACCGCCTAAGGGACCCCTTTAACGCAGGGAATGGCCCTCCAGACTTCGGATTGCTGCTCATTTGGCCGTCGTCTGGGCGCCCGATGTCTGCTTGTCTTGATGAAATGTCTGGGATAACCATCAGCAGCAAATCGGCTCTTTTATCTTCTGGCGTGTTGCAGTGTATTTCGACATCCACTAATAGGCCCCGGAAACGCAGATGCGGCGGATTTGGCCAGTACCTGCGACTATCTATAGTTGTGCTATGTGTAGCTGGATGGGCTGTGAACTCCCTGCCGTAGGAGCCGTCGTTGCCTTCCCGCGCGGTTCTAGCTCGACGCGAACAGAAAGTGGGGCTAGTTGTTCTCGGATTGAGCGATTAGTTTGCTTGCCAGAAGTGCTACAACCCGCCACCCTGTCACTACGCGCTGAATGTCATGGCATGACGGGTTGCCAACAGACGGGGTGACTTGCGTGTGATACCGACCGACGGTCAGGCCACAGATACGCCTGATTGCAGCCCTCATGGCAGCTCTCCTCGTTGGGGGGTCCTGTCCGTAGTCGGGCTTTTGTGCGCGCGTTCGGCTCCCAACGTGTGGATGTTGATTCTTCCTCATTAACCGGTGCACCCACGCTCACCTTCAGTTCTTGCTGGGAGTGCCAGCCAATCACTGGAGGCCATGTGCGTTTTCTCTGCTGCGCTGTCATCTTAATCATGGTGCCTCTCCATTGGCTTTTCCTCTCGGGCCTGATCGATCTGCGTATTCGAATTATCGACCAGCTCGTCTGGAATGTTCTTCCCGAAGGGCATTGGGCTGAATGTCGGCTAACCCCAGTAGGGCATTATAAGTATGCATTACTTCCAGTTAATTTTGACTTGAAATTTCCTCGTACGCATTTTCATGGCCGGTCGCGGTTCTCCTTCTCTGCCGCGTTGGTATTGGGGGCCAGAGTCGAGGACGCATACGCTCCCACTTGCTTTCAATTACCAGGCCGGATCATAACAGTTCTGCTGATGTTGCCTTATTTATTGCTGAGTCCTAATGGATGTGAAAATAAAGATTCCGGTGGATGTTTCGATAGTCTGTTTCACAATAAGCCAATTTACGCGCAAGTCGCCACCTCGGCCACCTGGCGCTGGTGGTCCTCATTGCATGCAACGGGTGAACTATCGGCTGAAGTGGGGGGGAGGCTCTTTGAGCAAAGGCGCACTTTCCTTCCACTGCGCCGCCCTTGTGCTTCGACAGCAGGCCTCTGGTTGGTTAACTGATTCCAAAGCCCATTCGATTTCTGGTTAGAAACAACGGCCTCTTTTGCATCGAACAGACTAAGACTGTAGGGGCAGTGTCGGCCGGATTTAGCAGCTAGACGACGACCGTCTTCGGTGAGGGTTGTTAAAATCCGAAATGAGCGCAGACCGTTTTCTAGTTTTCTCACAGTACATTTAACTGCGCGATGGAGGGCTGTGAGGTCTCCATGCAGTTTCACTTTGCTCGGCACTTTTAGGCCTCCGAGATATGGCTGACCTAAAAAAGGCCTCTGGATTCATTTTTTGGAGCTGAAGATAAAAAGGGAATCCTGTCCCCTGACAGCAGCTGTGTGCTGCCGACCGACTGCGTGTGCACGCGCGTCCCGTTATGACGCGGACAGTGTGATTGGCTGTTTCCCACTTCGCTGTGGAACTCTGATTGGCTGTCTCTCACTTCGCTGTGGAGCTGTGATTGGCTGTTGGCCGTTTCCCCTTTCGGTCACACTCAGACAAGCTTCTGTTGTTTTTGATGATCTTACCAACCGTAGATCTTTTACAATTTTAGAGGATTTAATAGAACACGTAGCGAGCAAAGTGCCTGCTAAGTGAATCAACCTGTCGTGAACGTCAGGAGAATGCCGACAGACAATATTCTTCTCCCGAATGTCCGACCGTGGATACCCTTCTAGACAAATGGAAAAATCAGCTGCTGACGACAAATTCTCACACCACTTACTCTCTAAGACGCACTTATCTCCCATTTCTGATCATCTTTTCGTGGCGATTGTGGCATGTCAGTGAACGAGCCCGGGCAGCAAAAGTTGACTATACTTACTGTACCTCGTGGGGCCTCGTAGTTCAGGAGGTTAGAGCGTTCGTCGTACTAAAGCCTTCTCCTTGCTGTCGTGGGCTCGGATCCCACCGACTTTTGAACAAATGGGTAAAAGGAATTATTCGGATCTGCCCAAGCCCCTAATCATCGTCAGGTTGGCGAGTTGATTGGGTCAGCGGGACGTGCTGGTGACGAAGGCGATCGCGGGTGCTGACGGCTGGACCGACCATCGCCTCGTCATCTCGAAGATGCGTATTCGCCTACAGCCTCGCAGGAGACCACAAGGTAAGCGACCCCCAGGTAAGCTGAATGTTGCTTTGTTGTCTTTGCCTGCTCACCGTCTCCATTTCAGCAATGAGCTAGCTCAACGGCTAGACAATTTTCCTACCGCTGCCGCCGCCGACGACGCCGCCGCCGCCGCTGCCGAGAACACCTCCGTGGAGAACCGCTGGTGTCAGCTGCGAGACACGGTCCAGTCGACGGCTCTCGCCGTCCTCGGTCGCGCTCCCCGCCAACACCAGGACTGGTTCGACGACAACGACGCCGCCATCAGAAATCTGCTTGCTGAGAAGAACCGCCTCCACAAAGCCTACGTAGATCATCCCACTAAGGACAACAAAGCTGCCTTCTACCACAGTCGCCGACAGCTTCAGCAACGACTGCGCGAGATGCAGGACGAATGGACTGCTCGCAAAGCTGAGGAGATCCAAGGCTACGCGGACCGCAACGAATGGAAGAACTTCTTCGCCGCCATCAAAGCTGTCTACGGTCCGCCGACGAAGTGCACTGCTCCTCTCCTCAGCGCCGACGGCAGCACTCTCCTGACTGAGAAGACGCAAATCCTACAGCGATGGGCCGAGCACTTCCGAGGCGTCCTCAACCGCCCTTCCGTCATCTCCGACGCCGCCATCGCCCGCTTGCCGCAAGTGGAGACCAACGTGGACCTCGACCTCCCGCCATCTCTCTAGGAGACCATCATGGCCGTGCAGCAGCTCTCCAGCGGGAAAGCACCCGGATCGGACGCAATCCCTGCTGAGGTCTACAAGCACGGAGGTCCCCTACTGATGGATCACCTGACTGCGCTCTTCCAGGAGATGTGGCGTCAAGGTGAAGTCCCGCAAGATTTCAAGGACGCAAATATCGTGCACCTTTACAATCGAAAAGGGAATCGCCAAGTCTGCGACAACCACCGCGGCATCTCCCTACTGAACATCGCCGGGAAGATCTTCGCTCGCATCCTGCTCAACCGCCTCAATAACCATCTGGAACAGGGCCTTCTGCCGGAAAGCCAATGCGGCTTCCGTCGTCATCGTGGGACCACGGATATGATCTTTGCCGCCCGCCAACTCCAGGAGAAGTGCCAGGAGATGCGGACCCACCTGTACGCTACCTTCGTGGACCTGACGAAAGCCTTCGACACGGTGAATCGTGAAGGGCTGTGGAAGATCATGCAGAAATTCGGCTGTCCGGAGCGATTCACTCAGATGGTGCGTCAGCTGCACGACGGTATGGTGGCGCGAGTCACGGACAACGGAGCTGTCTCAGAGGCATTCGCAGTGACCAACGGAGTGAAGCAGGGCTGTGTGCTGGCGCCAACCCTCTTCAGTCTTATGTTCTCTGCCATGCTGATGGACGCCTATCGCGACGAACGCCCCGGGATCCGCATCGCCTACAGGACGGACGGTCGTCTTCTGAGTCAACGGCGCATGAACTTCCAATCGCGCGTATCCACAACTACCGTGCACGAACTCCTCTTCGCCGACGACTGCGCCCTGAACACCACCTCCGAAGCGGAGATGCAACGGAGCATGGACCTGTTCTCCGCCGCCTGCGAGAACTTTGGGCTGGTTATCAACACGCATAAGACGGTGGTGATGCACCAACCGCCACCCAACTCAGCCACAGCCACCAACGCGCCGCCGCAAATCCGCGTGAACGGAAATCAACTGCGAGTGGTAGAGAACTTCCCGTATCTGGGCAGTACCCTCTCCCACAACACCAAGATTGATGACGAAGTCGCCAACAGGATCTCGAAAGCCAGTCAAGCCTTCGGTCGCCTCCAAAGCACAGTTTGGAATCGCCATGGTCTCCAACTAAGCACAAAGCTGAAGATGTACAAGGCCGTCATCCTGCCGACGCTACTGTATGGAGCAGAGACATGGACGGTGTACACGAGACAGGCACGCCGACTGAACCACTTCCACCTCAGTTGTCTCCGTCGCATCCTGAGGCTGAACTGGCAGGACCGCATCCCCGACACCGAAGTGCTGAAACGGACGGGAATTCTGAGCATCTACGCCATACTGAGACAAATGCAGCTGCGCTGGAGCGGCCACCTGGTGCGCATGGACGACGAGCGACTACTCAAACGACTCTTCTACGGAGACGTCGAGGCGGGTTCTCGTCGTCAAGGAGGCCAGATTCGCCGTTACAAGGATACCCTGAAGTCCTTCCTGAAGCGCCTGCAAATCAACCCGACCAACTGGGAAGAGCTCGCTCGCGATCGCCCGACATGGAGGAGAACAGTGAAGACGGGCGCTGCTATCTATCAAGCCAACCGAATCGCCGCCGCCAAAGCGAAACGCGAAGCCCGCAAATCACAACCTCGCCCAATACGCAACACCGTCGCACAACCTCTCCCTACGTGTCCTCGATGTTTACGGACATTCCGGGCACGAATCGGACTTGTTGGACATCTCCGAACCAACTGCACCTCTCGAACTGCTCCAGCCATCGTCCCCCCGCCCGCCTCTTCCTCGCCCTCTCTGCCGCCAACTAACTCTGACACTCCTTCTGCACCACCAATTCCATCCTCGTCGTCCTCCTCCCTCTCCACTGCCCCAGCGGCGGCCGTTCAGACTGCCGTCTCACACATCACCAACCCCGACACAACAACCGACATCACCACCCACACCTCTCCCGATTCCAGTGATGAGGATCAGGACTACACCTGCCCTCACTGTGACCGCACCTTCACCTCACACATCGGCCTGGTCGGTCACTTGCGAATCCATCGCACAGAGACTGGCGAACCAGTGCCTGGAGCACCAACCTACACCCACCGCACTCGTCTCCACTGCCCACACTGCACTCGCACCTTCACTCATCGCATGGGTATATTCGGCCACATGCGCATCCACGAGAGCGGAATTGACCACAATTCCGATATAGCCACGACATCCAACACGCCCAGACCCATCCTCGCCCCACCGTCACACGCGCCGACCACCACCACCACCGCCACCACCAACACCACTGCTTCCTCTACAGCTGACACCGACACCGCCAACCTCTCATGCCCACATTGTCCACGCACCTTCACCTCACGCATCGGCCTGGTCGGTCACTTGCGAATCCATCGCACAGAGACTGGCGAACCAGTGCCTAGAGCACCAACCTACACCCACCGCACTCGCCTCCACTGCCCACACTGCCCTCGCACCTTCACGCATCGCA